TCTTGATTCCATACCCGACAACAAACCACCACCGTATTTACACTTCTGTGCATCCTCGTGGCTATTTCTCTGAAGGACAAACCAGCCTCGCGTAAGCCCACTATTCGCCCCCTATCAAACTCGGTAAGCTGTAGAAAATTTTTTCGTCTTCTTACTCTAGGCATGAAAAACAAATCAAAAAAGCTCTTCACAAAGTATTGTATGACAATCAAATGCGAATTATAGCTACAAAACACAATTATCGCGTCTTACTTTTTTGTGAGAACAGGACGATAACACAAAAACCACTCTATCGATATGGCTGAAAAACTGATCGTTTTTTATTCTAACTTAAACATACATATTCCTAGAAATTATTTGTAATAAATTCATTAATACTGGGTGTTCTGTTTTCTATGTCACTTAGTATATAATGGTGTGTGGTGAGTTGTGAGTATATTAAAGATCTTAGTGGTGTTAACAGCATTTATCTTTGATACCTTCCGCGAGGTGTCTTGCTCTAGAGATAAAAAAAGGTCGTGGTCTCAAGTAATACAATGAATACATTGTCGTTGAATACTTTTAAAAATCTATAGGATTTTCTTTTTGAAAAAATGGCCAGAGGTCACTTAAATTTTTTTGAGATATCCTATACAGTTAAAAATATTTTTACATGATAGCCCTATATCCCACACTATGAGAAAACTGCGCTACTGTTGAAGGACCCTGTACGTGTAGACCCAAGTAACACTAAAAATCCGTGAGACACTCGTTTTAGATCCCGGAACTTTTAGAGAGCATACTATGCACAAGGATTTCATAAGTTGGATATTAATTTTAAACTTAAGCTTTAATCCATCCTGCGGTAAGCTGATTAGATTTTGAGCATAGTCGGAATATCTGGGGGGTACTTTATAGAAAGTAAATTTTCTAGCTTATGGAATATATCTGTAATTTATTATTGGAGAAGAAAATTCTTACTTGTACTATTATTCCCCATTATTTTTGTTTTCTACATAATTTTTCTTAAATGTCCGTACTCGAGAAATTTGAAAAAAGGGTAAAAATCGAATTTTTATGGAAATTGTTCAAATAAAAGTTGTTTGTGATGTTATTCTCTACAATTTTTGTTTAAATCATGATTTTTCTAAAATAGATCGTAATATAATTTTTTAGTACCTACTTTCGTTGGAAATGAATATACATATTTAAAAAATGTTCCAATTAAGATGTGTGTAGAAAAGTATGTATTTTATTAATCCACTAAACATTTACAGGGGTGATACAACAGATAATACAAAATAACCGGAAAAAAAATCAGGAAAGTCATATGTTAGACACATCAGATTTATTTTATGAGTTACACACATTTACTTTCAAACTAAAAATGTATACACCGTGTCCCACGTAAGGCGGGCATTACAACTTTATGGAGAATAAATTAATTTGTATTTTCGCCATTTTCTGAGTATACATAATCGAATATGCTCTTTTGAATTAAAATAAAATGAACTCTGTGCAACTTCCGGTTATACCGGAAGTGACCACTAACTTCGTTATTTTAAAGGGAATACCCCATAGTTTTTTTTAATTTTAGATTCAGCATGAAATTCTGTAAACAATGATACCCCATTCGCCTATTCTGATTATAGTGTATTTGGCGTTATTCAGTTTTTTATAAACTTTTATATGCCGGCAGACATTTGCTTTTTTAAATTTACTTGTACATCGTTTGTTCGACTGTGTGTTTGGAAATTATTTTAAAAAATAAATATTTTAAACATGAAATTTTTTTTTATTTTAAATGGAAAATCCTGTATATTTTTATTTTATTTTGTTCAGAAAATTATTCTTCATTGATCTTCATTTGCACTATTAATTCCCTATAATTATCTCTCGCCAATTTGAAGAAAATTTAAATTTAAATTTTACGCATGCACCTACATAATATAGTATAGTTTTACATTTTAATTTTTTATCTTAGTATGCCGTGGAAATATGCTAAACAACAATCTGTCAACAAACTGAATTGTCATATTTCTATGTATTTAAGTTGTCTATTTTTTGCGTTCAAAATATGGAAAATATGGAAAATATTGAAGAATATACCAACCAAGATATTCTTAATTTATTTTACATTCATGGAGAATGTAATCGAATCAAAAGTAGAACCTGCCGCATGTTTAATGAACGATACCCTTATTTTCCACCAATGAACAGACAGAAATTTGATAGAATCGAAGCTAACTTTTTGAATAATTTTAAACAGAACCCGGGAAGAAACCGTCAACATTATGTCCGAGATGAAGAAGTTAATCTAATTAACGTATTAGGGTATTTTACTGCGTATCCTCACGCCTCCATTAGAATGGCTCAAGATAATTTAAATATTAGTCGAGGGTCAATACAACGAATTTTAGCACTAAATAAATGGCATCCCTATGCACAAAGAAAAGTTCATGAGTTGCGAGATGGTGATCAAATAAGACGAACTGAATTATGCGAATGGTTATTGGTACGAATTCAAGAAGATCCCGAGATTTTAAACAAAATTTTGTGGTCAGACGAGTCGAAATTTACACGTAAAGGGATCATCAATCGCAAGCAATGTCATTTCTGGGCAAACGAAAATCCACACTTTTATCGTGAAGCACAATTTCAGTACGAATTTAGTTTTAATGGGTTTTGGAAGAGCTTTTTATTACATTTATAATGAAAGACTGGCCTCAGAAAGATACATTAGAATTCTTAGAGAAGTAGTTGCCGACATTTTAAACCAGCTACCAAATAATAATTTTTGGTACCAGTTGGATGGTGCCCCAGCACATTCAACATACTATGTAAATCAAGAAATTACAGCACTCTTTGAAGACCGATGGATAGGTCCAAATGGTCCTTGGCTTTGGCCTGCAAGATCGCCAGATCTAACTCCTGTTGATTTTTTTTATGGGGTCATATTAAAAATTTAGTGTACTCTACCCGAATTAATACTAAAGAAGAATTAGAGCAAAGAGTTCGGAATGCCTTTAACGAGTTAGATGGTGAAATGATTCGTAAAGCAACAACTAATCATGTTGAAAAAAGAATGTTAAAATGTTTAGAAGCTAACGGGGGGCATTTTGAACATTTAATAAAATGATTTTTTTAAACCATGTGCTTTTAATAAAAATTGTTTTTAGTTAGTATGTACCTTATCATTAAAAAAATTTAAACTTTTTAAACGACATATTTTGTTGCAGAAAACTGTAAATGTTTTTAAAAGTACATCCCATCTACTACTTCTGGCTAAAATTTCAAGTATCCAACCGAAATAGTACCTGAGACAGTCGAATTTAAGAAAATGCCTACCGGCGCGACGACTAAAAGTTAAAAAAAAACGAATAACGCCAAATCCGCTATAATTAGAATAGGCAAATATGGTTTCATTATTTACAGAAATTCATGCTGAATCTTAAATTTAAAAAATATATAGGGTGTTCCCTTTAAAATAAAAAAGTTTTTTATGTTTAAAAAATTTCATTTTTAAAAATAATTTGCAAACACCCCGTACAACAAATAATGAATAACCAAATATTCTCAAGAAGTACATCCCATCTACTACCTCTGGTTAAAATTTTAAGTATCTGATAGATATAGTACCTGAGATAGACGACTTTAAGGAAATGTCTACCGGCGACTAAAAATGTAGAAAAAAATTGAATAACGCCAAATCCGCTATAACTAGAATAGGCAAATGGGGTATCGTTGTTTACAGAATTTCATGCTGAATCTAAAATTAAAAAAAAATATGGGGTGTTCCCTTTAAAATAACGAAGTTAGTGGTCACTTCCGGTATAACCGGAAGTTACAGAGAGTTCATTTTATTTTAATTCAAAAGAGCATATTCGATTATGTATACTCAGAAAATGGCGAAAATACAAATTAATTTATTCTCCATAAAGTTGTAATGCCCGCCTTACGTGGGACACGGTGTATACAAAAATACTCAAAATGGGACAAATAATTTTTATCAACATGGATGCCCGATGCTTTGTTTCAAAGATACAGAGTGTGAATTTTACAATCAGAAAAAAAATTGGAAAACAATTAACAGTATATTAAACTGTAACAAGTCTATAAAGATGAAATCAGCACACTAGATTTTACGGATTTATTTTAATTGTGCTATCAAATAAAAAAGTAAGTGGAGTATATATTTTTTGTTAAAAATTATTGAAGCACTCGTTCGTACGCGTGCCCTTAGTAAACATGTTTACATATTTTTATTGCTTACATAATATTATATAATTTTTTATGTACATTGTTAAACCAAAATTTAATTGAAATCGTTAAAACCGTTCCATAAATATATTAAAATAAAATACTAAAACTGTGTATTTTTAAAACAAAGCTTCTGCAGACCAATGTTTGTCCTATTTTTGGTAAGGAATCATTTTTCAACTATACATGTTTTTTGTAACACCCTATACAACAAAAATCATTTTAAAGTTCGAAAAAATAATTAAATTTTTCAAAATTAATTCCACGAAATATTGTAAGCTATTTTCAAACCCCTAGTGTATACTTGATGATAATGATATTAAATTATTCAGTATTAATTTCAACGAAATCATGCTAACATTTTAAAGCGGCTAATTCAATCAACTAATTTGGGTAATTAAATGAAATTAAATATAGACATATTATTACAAATAATTTTAAATAATTTACTGGGATATGTGATAATAAAAAATAAATTTTATCTAAAATACTTTATACAAACGTAGAAAAACTTTTTTTAGTTTTATATCTTACTAATACTTATAGGTAATAAATTGTAAGCCATTGAGGCTAATTAAGCCAAGATCGCATGTATTAGATAATATTTATATAATTCTCAATTAAGTGGATATGTTTCTGTAAAAGAGATAAAAAAAGATATTTTCACCCAACACACTCAATTAACTAAAGTACCAAAATGAAACAACTAATTTAAAATTAAAAATAAATAATTTATTAATAAATAAAAACTGACAAACATTCTATGTTGGTTTGTATTCCGGTCGCAACCCCAGCGGCAATGGTACATCCAAACTTCTCCTGGACCAACCATGACCACCATGATCTTCATGTCCTTTGGTAGATATAACTTCCACCGATTTCCCGCCGCCTGATGTTAAGGATTTCAGTCCGATAATGGTGGAGATGAGAAGTGATATTAGAGAGGTCATCAAGGCTTTACCTGCTAAAGCTGCTAAGGCTCCCATCGCTACGGTCGCTAAAGTACCCTTCATCATAGCGGCTGCAGCCATCATCATTCCCATACCGCCGCCACCACCCTTGTTCTTCTTACGACCTTCGAAGGTTCCATCTCCTGCTTCTGCGAAGTTTAGTTTGAGGGAGTGGCTGTCGAGGAATCCCTGGACTTTCTTCATTAGAAAACCATCTAATCTGGCGTCTGGATCGTTAGGGAACTCTCTGCCAAGTTCGGCAACTAAATCGGCTGTATTAGCTTTGGCACTGCTATTTTCCCGCACTATCGATACTCCTGGTAGGACATTAATATTTCCTTTTTCGTTGAGTCCTTCAACCCATCCGACAATATCCAATTTCAAACATGTCGCTGTGTAAGAATTATCACAGTTTTTACCTAATGATCTCTTGAAATCACTTCTGTCACTTTTTTGTCGAATATCTTCGGAGAAAGCACTTGCTAGAAGCAGTAAACTGAAGACCACTCGAGGATACATTTTGGTTAAATTGCTGGGCTTACACTGATTTAAATCGGCAAAATCGAATTCATTTATACTAGAGCATCTTGATAAAAAAAATGAGAGTGAATATAATTGGACATTTCTAAAATCACTTTTTAATAAATGATATATACAAAATTAATTATCTGATTTTTCTAGTATGAATAATTCGGCAATTTATGCAAGCGTGCATTTACCGGTATTTTTGAAGCATGAAACAAGAATTTTTGTTACAGCAAAGTGATTTAGTTGAACTATTTAATCTAATTTACAACACTTTCTCGAATTAATGGTACTGAGGCAAAAATAAAATCTGTAATTTAATCATAGACTGAGAGCTAGTAGCCGTGAAGTTACTACGATCTATGTCTTGCTGGAATTTTGTGGTTAACGATGTAATATTTGGAGATGGGGACAACAATGATTATAATAATATTATGGCGTATATTGTCAGACTTATCTCGACCAGATTGGCTAGGAGGGAAAACTAAGCAAGTGGAAGAACAATCAGAGATTGAACAGTGAGAGAGAGAATAACAAATTTAGACTTTACAGTTTCTAAAGAAAAATTCGAGAGACGCTAAAATGGTGGTTCCCACCTTATCGAGACTGAGGCCCACAAGGGTAAACTCGTAGCGTAAATAAAACGAGAAATGATTTAACTTGGAACGAAAGACCGAAAGCTGATTATAGTATTAGGACGTTGAATATCATCAGATCTATTAGAAGAAATTCAATATAATTCGCAATATCACAACTATAATACAAGAAGCCAATCTGACTTTCATGTACGGCAAGCCATCTCTAAAAGTTCCCAAAATACAATTTTTATTAAAGGTTTGCAAAAATTTAATAGACTGCCTACAGAAATAAAAAATCACAACAATAAATGTATTTAAAAGTAACCTCAAACAACACTTGATAAATAGACAGAACGGATATACTTTCTTGTGTTAATACTCTTTAAACCTGCCTTTTTTAAGTATTTCCCTTAATTTATTGTTATTTTACCCCTCGTTTTACCCGCATTTATTATAAATTATTTCTGTTTTGAGATCATGTACTTTATTTTAAAAAATACTTGATGTTATATTAATAGGACCTACCATGTTTAAATTATTAATAGTTTTGCGACTATAGGATATAGCTTATAGCCACAAAAATATGTTTCTGTTAAAGTAGATCCATAGAGAGCAACATAATTTACAAAGGGTTTCTTTAAACATACAAATAAATGACAACTTTATAATTAAAATGAAAACTTTATAATTAAATTGAATAACACAACAAAATGCCTCGGTATCATAATTGATCAAAATTTAAAATGGATTGATCACATTACGTCATTAACAACCAAAGTTAGAAGATTCATTTTTAAATTTTATGAATTGAGAAAATTTATGACTATTATTACTAATTATAATTTACAATTCGCTGGTTGAATCTATTTTGCGATGTGGTATAATGTGGACTATATGATATTGCACTTCAACCCAATCCAAAATCGTATAATTAAGATCATCTATCTACAAAAAACCAGCATTATATCCTACCTCTCTTTTATATAATAAAAAAGTGCTTATATAAGAACATTTAATTATCTGTCTTGCTGTATCTTTATTTACGGAAAGCCTGAATTGAGATATATTACAAACTATTTGCAATAAATATCAAAAGAAGCATACAAACATTTTAAAATAATTTGACATTTAAGAGCTATTCACACATCACAGTTCATATCTTGATACTTAACAGGCACAGCCAAGAATTATTCTGATTTTTGCCAAATAAAATGGCCGGTTAATTGAGGACCTTGGTGCAAGAAGAGGATGAGTCACTATTTCAAAAATGTTCAAAAGAAACGATTTTTTTTTATTAGACATTTTATGTTATTAAAAACAAATTATTTTGGCAAAAAATGAGACCTGGGGCCCTATTCTCGAATGTCTATTTCTAAATGTCACACGCGACATTGATGATATGTCAAACAAGAACGCAAAAACGTATTCTGGAATGTCGAATTCGACATTTGTTGTTAGACATAAAGTCGAGTGGTATTCAACCAGTCGACATTGAAATGTCGCATGCCTTTTTAAATATAATGTCATGAGGGTCGTGACAGTGACAGTTTATATTTATTTTTAAGAGAAATGAAAATAAGTATTGTACAAATTGTTCTTAAAAATGTATGAAATGATTATTTATAATTTCACCTAAGGTCTACCGGCAAAATACCGGTAGACCTTCGTTCAACCTGAGGGCCCTCTTTCAGGAAGCAGGCCTCGTTCTGGCAGTGGGTCCTCGTTCGGGCAGTGGATTCTTGTTTAGGCATCGGGCCTCAATCACTAGGCCTCATTCAGTATGCCTAAGTCAGTGGGCATCAGTCTGTTGGCCCTTGAGAATAAGAAATGCGAAATAACCTTTGGAAAAAGCATCAATGTGCTAAAAGGGCCTTTTTTGCTCTTCAAGGAATCGGCCCATGAAAGAGATGTAATACCTGTCATTAAGAAATTTATATTGTTCTATTTTTTCAAATTGCAGGTAAAAAGATTATATCACAGACATTTTATGTAATGTTTAGATTATATTATACTGTGATAATAATATATTTCTTCTTTTTACTATTTAATCTCTTACCAAATTGTACTTCCAATTTTCTATTTAATCCCTTATGAAATTTTAGTTAAAAGATTATATTTACTCTACTTTCTAATTAGTATTTATCAGAAAAACATATATTTGGGATATATTTGCAGTATTACTTTCTATAACTAAGGAATCCTTTAAGTAATTGTGTGCTGTAACATACTCGTCTTGTATGTTTCTATCCAATGTTGCCAGATGTTACCATTCGCCAAATATGTCACCGATTAAAAATTGTCGATTTTACTTTGAGAATATGGATAGTGTCAGTCGATCGACATTATGATAGACATTAGTAGTAGACATTATGACGAATGCGACATTTTTAATAGACATTCCAGAATAGGACCCCTGGGGTTTATTGAAAGAAAAGCTGCAAAAATTTTGAATTTTGTTTATTTGGTACAACAACAGGATGAGTCGCAAAAATAAAAAAGTCGCAAATAGTCAAGATATTACATATTACATCTGTGCCTGAATTATTATTTTCGAGGGGATCATTAGTACTTTTTAAATTGTTATAAAAAGCCAAATCAGATTTTGGTACGTACTCTCTGGCCAGTTGCATAACATTTTTAAGTTTTGCATCCTTAATGGGCAACAGGGCATTATAACAAGTATTTTTTTTCAATAAATTGCACAGATTTTTTTAAATTCAGTAAAGTAAATGTCTGAAATAGTAAAGCTGTCTTGCTACATTGAATTTCATCTGAAAGTTCTAAATACAAAAAAACTCGATAAGTAGAAACAGCAAATTTTTCCTTATTAGGATTTTTTGGCACTGGGGTAAGTAAATACGTTCTACTAACCTTTTTTTCTTTTCAATAATACCAAATGATCTGGCACAAGATAATAAGCTGTGACCAGGTTCAAGAAATCTATGTGTTATGGATTCAAGTTTTTGTATTTTGCATAACCCTGCTAAGTAACGGACCATTACATTGTTTTTATTTTGCGAACAGCAGTTGTCCGAAAATAAGTAAAGCTTCTTAACACCTGTGTTTAATTTGTTTGTAATATAATGATCTAAGAAACTGATAACTTCATTGGCTCCCATTTTTGCAGTTGTTTTGTCATACATGTAAAAATGAGACGATTTGTATTTAGCGGAATGAATACAAAAATTGTACAGCCACAGCGGTCGTAGGTAGAATACATCTGCAGATGACACTTTTGGTAGTGGCAAATTCTGTTGAAAATCGAAGCAAAGGACCTCAATTTCTTTATTTTTTTCGGCTTCTTCTGTAAGCTGTTTCAATTCTTTATAAAACCATTCGGATTTCTTTATATGTACATCTTTTTCAGCTTTTATTGAATTTCTTTCGTCCTCATCCAAAGTACTTTTAACTTATTATCCAGTAAGTCACATTTCTTACAATTATCTGTTCTAGATCTCTAGATCTAACAAAACTATAGTTAAAGTTTTCTTTAAAGTATCTAAAGTAGAAATCGTGGTTTGTTATGTTCACCTCGCTGGTAGCAATGGTTTTCGTGTTTTTTAAAATAAAGCTGGTGCATGATTTTAATATAATAAAAAACAGCATACAGTAGGTGGTCGATTAAACGGCACATGAACTACTGAAATAGTAAAATAGCGCGTAATAAAATGTGAAAAAGCATCGAGAGAAAAACAAAATAATGCGCGATGGCCATATTTATGGATATTAATTTTTTTCCCCAGTTCGCCGGAACGTTCATCTTTTTTCCCCTGTGCGGTTAAATTTAGATTCGCTATGGCTTTCTACTCTCATCTATTTTGATTGGTTTCAATATTTTATCGGATTCTTACAGCATTTTGGCCTAATATTCCCGCCATTAGCTTAAAATTGGAATTTTGGACAATCATCTTTTTTCCCCTGTGCCCTTCATATTTTATTCTATTTTCTAGTTTTATGCTTTTATCGTATTTTGTATTTTATTTATTTGTATTTTGACTAATTCCATACTCGAGAGCGAGGAAGGTTGACTCGAAAAGAGACTGCACTACACGGGAAAATAAAGTCCGTCATAAAGTAGTCAGTAATAAAGTCATTAGTAATCCAAGATAAAGTAATAAGTAATTTTAAATAAAATAATCATAAGGTAATAAGTAATTTTAAATAAACTAGTAATTTTGAAATGTTTTTTGGGATCTGGTGTGTGAAGAATGTGGTAAGTCGAAGCCCAATTATTGTAAATTTCTAAACGTTTTTTTTTTTTTTTTAGTTTTTCACCCTTCAGATCTCCCGTGCTACACCCTAATTAGTCTGTAGCCTGGCAACACTGCAGCACTGCAGCCTGCAACTTATTGTACCTCCATTTGAAGGTCCTACTACTTTCCCATTCACACCCTCATTCATTCTCATTTATTCCACGTCGTCGATGGTTAAACGCTAGTCGGATGAATCCCATGGTGACACGGCCCATAGTGGAACCTCCCAGCGGTCACCTATCCACGACGTGACCGGAGAGATCACTGCTTAACTGTTGCGAGTAAGTGGATGCACACTAAACTCGCGGCTAGCCTCTCCGGCTAAACGTTTGTTTATACTGAGGTGTGATTGACAATAAATTGTACATTTTTATATATTTGTATTTTATTTTAAAGCCATAACTGGTACAAAAACACGACTTTGTACATACAATCCCATACATACAATTCCCATACAATCTGTTAGGAGCTTGTAATGAGTGTAATGTTGCTTCCCTAACAGTTGTACCTCGACTAGTTCTAAACTTTAATTCAAATTAACGTCGGAGAGAGGGTCGTGGAATGACAATAATAAGCGGTATTCCAGGAAACTGTGGTGGTTTAATTTCGGTTACTGTGAATTTACACCAATTAAAGCACTTTAAAGCAATTAGTGATAACTCTAATATAAAGAAATGCGTTAAAATTCATGCACAATATTATTATTATTATTATTCTTCCAATTGGTACCAATTAATACAGCTTTTATCAATGATACACATGCATCTAATTAAGAATAGCAGCCTTTTTAATTATAGAAAATAAAATAATAGTATGTAACATGCATAGCGTTCGGAGCACAATAATGGTACTTCCTTGGAAAAAAAGCAAAGCCCAAAGCCTCATAAGTAGGTAACCGAAGAGTGAAGAAGAGTGTAGAATGAAGAGCGAAAAATGAAGAGCGAAGAGAGTATAAGCAGTCTAAGTTAAATAAGAACCCTCTTACTTGTGTCTCAGTGGTCCATGCAGAATGGTGGTGATAGCATATATCCTGAGGTGAATGTACCTTATGAAACCAATGCAGTAGCAGCGATTAAGCGATTAGGTAAGCAGGTCTATCTTAGATTAATTTAGTCCAATGTAAAACAGTATATAACCAATTTTTAGGTAACAAATACCAGCCCAAGATAAGGTGGCCTACAAGAGAGAACAGAAAGTATAAATAAAAGCCTTAGACAAAACAAAATGGATGACAGAAACCATAGATGACTTACCACGTGGTGTTGGTTGGCCTTTAAGATAATGTAAATAGGTAAGGAAATAAATTTAATAATCCACAGAATGTGATTTCAGACTTCTGAATATATTTTCTTTCCTTAGAGAGAGATGATTCATTTGCTTTGTTGAGTGCAAAAATCCGAAGTAGAGGACGAAAATAATAGCACATGCTACAAGTTGCTAACCCAAAAGCAGAATGACCAGAAGCTTGAAGGACAAAACCAGGCTGACCACTGGTCAGTGATGGTATCCCTGTCATTTTAAATATTTGTCACTACTGAAACAGACCTTAACTAAAAGAAGAATTAGTTGGTGATCTAAACAAGCTTGTCAGTAGATGCCTAACCGAAGAAAGGTATGAGAAGAAGAAGTAATAGAAAAAATAGAAAGGAATGATTTGGAATATAAACAAATAAAATAATGGACTTTTATATTAATTATTTAATTGGCTGCTATTGTGTTTTATTATATGAGAAGTAAGTGATGCATTTTTAATTATCGCTTTTAATAATCATTATGAAGGCAGTAAATTATAATAGCAAACTATGGTGTATCAACTAAATACACTAATTAGTTTGAACCCGTAACAAATCCTATACAATCCCATATCCCATACAATCCCATACAATCCCATACAATCCCATACAATCCCATACAATCTCATACAATCCTATACAATCCCATACAATCCAATACAATCCCATACAATCTTATGGAAAATAAATCATATTTATTTATTTTTTATTTATTCGGTTACGGTTTTTGTTTGACAAACAAATTCCAAATAAAAAATGGAGAACACCTGTCAAGACATTGGCTGGTATTATTCAGTGTCAAAAGATTCTGTGTTCTGTTTTTGTTCCTGTTTTTTTGGTAATTCAAAATTAAATTTGTTTTTAAAAAAGAATCATAGAAAGTGATAAATAGTATCGATGTCAGATTCTAAATAAAATTGTATTGGTTTGTGTAACAGATCTGAGAGCCAAAATCAATTTTCATGCCCAAAATGCCAAAGAACTTAAATACCTAGTGGTCCAAGATCCGAAGTAAGGTCGACCTTCACCCATCAGGTTAACGGATGAAAGTTTCTTTTTATTAAATAAAATATGTTTATAAATATACCGCAAAAGGGTTGCCTAAGAAAATAAGGTCCAGACTATTTATTTTCTTAAAGTAAAAAATGACAACCTGTAAATTATTCCTCAGATGCTATCATTGTACCTAAACTTTAATCAGCTCACTGCAGGATGGATTAAAACTTACGTTTAAAATTTGGTGCTTTTCTCTTTATCCGTTTTTGAGTTATCTTCCAAATTCGAAATTTGTACTTTTCCTCAAATGTCCCTAATTAGGTCCATTTTAGGGAAATCATGTACAGTACCAAAATTATAGAGAATGCCATCACAAGCAAATTTTATCATGATTCTTATACTTTCCTTATCTGTATACAGAGAGGGAAGTAAAAAATGGCCGCGACCGTATTTTTTTAGGCAACCCATTTGGGCTACATTTATAAACATATTTTGTTTTTTAAAAAAATACTTCCATCTATTAAATGGATAAGTGAAGGTCGACCTTACTTACAGATCTATGGTAGGTAATATCTTATTTTATTCTTTCATTTCATTAGCTTCGACAATTCAGATCATTAGCCTACTATTCTACAGATGTTTTACAATATTTACCAATGCCGCTTTACAATTAACAGTTTTAATTAAATCTTAGGAATTAATCCTACCTAGGCATTAGAAGTTAATTTGCCATATTTTTGTATTGTATCTGTAAAAAAATATTTTGTAATTTATATATCTTAAATAATAAAAAATTATTTAAAAAATAAAAATAATTTATTAAAAATAATAAATAAATAACACAGAAGGAATATTAAAAATAAATCGACTAGATCAAGCTGGCTTGTATTCCGGCCTCAATCCAAGCGGCAACGGGGTATCAAAACTTCTACCATTCCAACCAGATTGACCATGGTGGTGGTCTTCATGGCCCGAAGAATGTGAACTAGAATGGGTATAGACAGGCTTCGATACAACTTCGTAAGTAGTTTTTTCTCCACCTCCTGTAAGGGATTTGAGTCCGATAATGGCAGAAAGGACTAACGATATCAAAGCTGTCATCAAAGCTTTACCAGCAAGTGCAGCCAAAGCACCTAAACCTAGGGCGAGTAAAGTACTCTTCATCATTGCACCTGCAGCGAGTATCATTCCCATTCCACCTCCGCCGCCTTTTTTTCCTCCCTTGCGTCGTGCCATTTCAACGTTATCATTGTCTTGTTCTGCAGCGAAATTAAGTTTGAGGGAGTGACTGCCTAGGAATCCCTGCACTTTCTTCATTAGAAAACTATCCAGCCTGGCATTAGGATCGTTGGGAAATTCTCTACCAAGTTCAGCAACAATTTCCGCGGTGTTCGAGTTTGAACTGACATTTTCACGCACTAAGGATACTCCCGGAAGGACACTGATATCGCCTTTTTCGTTTAAAGCATCAACCCAACTGACGATGTCTAATTTTAAACATGTCGCCGTGTAAGAATTATCGCAGTCTGTTTTAAAATCACTTTTATCACTGTTTTTTTGAATTTCTTCGGAAAAAGCACATGTTATCGCCAAACAACATAAGAACAAACGAGCGAGGAACATTGTGTTCTAATTAGCGTTTTAACAAGACTGAATTAGATTGTAAAAATCGCATTAATTTATACTAGAGCATCTTGATTAAAAAAAAAACGAGAGTGATGATTGTAATTGGTCATTTCTCTATTAAAAAATATGCAGAAAAAATGATTCGTTGATGTTCTATTGCTTAGGAAAGGAGATCAATTTTTTAATTATGAATTGCCTAGAGTTACGGTTTCATTAGTGTCACTTGTTCGTTTTTGGCCGAAAGTTGTAATTTTTTTTAGCAGCATATTATTTTAAGATGTAAATCTGGCTGGACAAGAATAACGACACCTGCTACACCAGTTAAGATTGAGAATAATTATTATTTCTAATTATTTATTAGGTATTGATAAAATTAATTTTGCGAAAAGTTTTTTCATAATGTAAAAATAACGTAAGTTTTTGTGAAGATTTTTGAGTTGGAGAATGTGTTTCTTTTAACCAAAATAATAAAAAATAGTTAAAACCTAAATTTCATTGGTTCTCTTGCTGGTAAAATAAAAGTTTTAAAATTAATTGGCATTGAAATATCCATTTGTGATTTACAATGTGTCAAACTTTGCAGAAAGTAGTTTTTTTTTTTAATTTTATTAATTTGTAGGTCTGTTTTATAATAATAATAATAATAATATTTATTCATAACATACAGATTAATTTACAATTTACAATTTACAATTTTTTTTTTCACAAAGATACTATTAAGAATAAATATAAGGTTAGAGATAGTTTAAACTAACATAACAAAAGACAGATTAATTAATTTTAGCTCGTTAAAACCGATGTGGTCGTGCACAAGCAATAAAATTATTAATAATTATGATTTCTTTAGATTTTATAAAAATATAGAAAATAATACTATACAATCTTGTAAAAATGTAACTAAAAGTTGAGAGTAAGTAAGCAGGTAATTAACTAATTATAAAAAGGGTAAAACGTGTGAGTAGTGGAAAGGTAAGTTTAACAACTGTATATTAATTTTATGTTTTTTTTTTTTTTTTTTTTTTTTTTTTTTTTATATCTATAATATATTAATTATTTTTTTGGTCAATAATAGCAAGAAAGTCCTGTCTGTTTGAATTTAACACAAATTTTTTAAAGATGCTTTTAATCATATTTAATGAATTAATGGTTGTTATATAAATTTTTTACATATTGGGCAAGTAATTAAATATCTTAGAAGATAGATATAGAATATTTCTTTGTCCAATTGTTTTTTTACTTATATCAGTAGCTACGAAATTTTTATTTTTTAACCGAGTAGAGTAGTTGTGTTCTATATTTCGTAATATATTTTTATTTTTATAGATGTTCAATATAATAGAATAAACATATAGTTGTCTGATATCCATGACCCTACTCTCCAAAAATAGTAAGTCAGAGGGATGGTTCATTTTTTTATTGTATATGATTTTTAAAATTTTTCTTTGAAGTACTTCTATATTTTTTAGGTGTGTTTGTAAAATACCACCCCATCCAAGAATCCCGTAATTTAATCTTGACTCTACGAGTGAGTAATAGATTATTTTTAGTTGGTTAATTTCTAGTATTGATTTTAGATATTTAAACTTTGAAAGTAGCAATCGTAAACACCTCGCAATGTCTCCAACATGTGCATCCCATTTCAAGTGAGAATCGATTTTAATACCTAAGTATTTTATTTCTTGGGTGTATTTTATAATAATATTTTGCAAGCTAGGAATATTAATTTCGTTATATGGTGGCAAAGAATTTTTATAACTACTAAAAGGCATAAAATAGGTTTTGTCAAAATTAATTGTTAGTTTTTTATGTCTAAACCAATCGATAATTTTTGAAAAATCTGACTCTATTTTTGTTTTTAAATTCTCCCATGTGTCACTGCTGTATATGACAGCAGTATCATCAGCAAAACTGATTATTTTGCCCTCTACTTCAACATCGAAAAGACCATTAATATATACACTGAATAAAAGTGGACCCAATACGGTGCCCTGAGGGACACCATAAGTTGTGGTGTGAAATTGGCTGACAACATCATTAACTTTTACCTGTTGCTGCCTGTCCTTTAAATAATCCTTGAGAAGATCATGTGCTGGGCCACGTATTCCTGCATCCTCCAAAGCATCCACTAGCTGTTCATGTGAAACAGTATCAAACGCCTTGGCTAGATCCAGAAATACGCAGATACTTGGTTTACTGTCGTCAACTAACCGATAGACTGTATTTGTTAATTCCACTATTGCGTCGCTGGTAGATAAACCTTCTTGGAACCCATACTGACATTTTGAAATATAGTTATGTTTTTTAAAAAATGTAATCAATCTTTGTTTTATGGTTTTTTCAAATATTTTTGTTAAAGTTATTAAAGAGATTGGTCTGTAGTTTGACATATTGCTTTTATCGCCTTTTTTATGTAATGGCAAGATAGTGGTCTTTTTGAACTGATTGGGACATTTTCCCACATGAAATATAGAGTTTATAAGATGAACTATTTGTGGTATTATTTCATATTTAATATTTTTTAAAATCTAAGCCTTTATGCCATCTACGCCTGGTGCTTTATTATTTTTAAGTGAATCTATTATGCTTCCGATTTCGTTTTCAGTGGTGTCAGATAAAAATATAGAATTTACATTGTTTTTATTTTTTGGGGGTGTTGTTTGTGGTTTCGAAATTTTATCAGCATAATTTTTACCAATATTACTAAAGTGTTCAATAAAAAGTTCCGCTATGTCATATTTGTCTACTGAGCGGCAGCTGCCATTATGAGTTTGTAATTCTGTTACTATTTTTTGAGAGTTTTTTTCATTTGACTTATTATTTACAATATTCCATAAATTTTTAGAGTGATTTTTATTTTTCGTAATTTCATTTCTGTAATAATTTTTTTTTGCTGCTTTTATTAGGGTTTTTAAATTTTCTTTAATATATCATCGGGATCTTTTAAATATTCTTTATATAATTTATTTTTTTTATTTACTGAATTTACCAAACCATCTGTCATCCATTTTTGTCTTTTTTGTTCTGATTTTTTTATTTTTATTAATTGAGTGTTCTGTTCTACTAATTTTTTAAGGGTATTAATAAATATATCACATTTTTTATTTATGTCTTCAGAGTTATAGTAACTATTCCAATTATTATTTTGAAGATCATTTTTTAGATTTTTATAATTAATGACTTTTTTATTGAGATCTTTAGTGTTAAAGCAATTTACTGGTTTTAGTGGGATATGTAGTATTATAGCTTTATGGTCTGACACACAACTTTCAAATGTTGCTGCTAGGATATTTTGTTTTACATTATTAAAGTTACTTTTTAAAAAAATGTGATCAATGCAGCTTTTCGAGTTTCCTTTTATTCTAGTGTATTTATTTATTAACGATTCGAAATTAAATTCATACAATATATTTAGATACTCAAAGGTGGGTTCTAAAATATTTCCCTTAATATTTAGATTAATATTTCCCAGAAATACATGTTGTTGTATATTTAATGTATGTTTTTGTTCAAGGTAGTGGCGTAGTTCAAAAATGAATTCATTACTATCAGTGGATGGAGACCGATACATACATCTTATTAATATTTCTTTTTTGTTCTCACAAGTTATATATATTTCTACTACTGAAAATTGTCCTATTTTTTCTATTTGAGATCTATATTTGTATTTATTTTTTAAGAAAACCACTACTCCATCGTTTCTATTTAAATTACCATAGTTATATATAAGTTGATAGCCCGGCTTTTCGAAATATTCTATATCATTTCTAATAAATGTTTCGGTTAAAACAATCATATCAAAATTTTGTTTTAATTGAGATAATGAAATATTAAATTCATCCAAATTCTTTTTCATACTGCAAATGTTTTGATGTATTATAGTGAATAAATTTTTTTCCCCTTTTAGGGCATTGTTTAAATCATTGACATTTAAAAATTCTAAAGTATCATACATCTCACACGTAACATCCCTTAAAAACTGATCCATTTTCTACAATGTATATATAACTAAAAAGAGTCGTTGTAAGATAATTATTAACTAACAGAAATTTTTAAGACTATTATAAATTCTAATAAAATTATAGTAAGTAACCTATATCTACTAATTTTTTACTAAATAATACCTTAAAAACGATAAAAATAATAATACATAAAAAAAATTCTTCAGATAAGTAGGTAATTGGTTTTATATTGATGTCGATATTGAATATAGTAAGGTGTTGACAAATTGCACAAGTGACCTATATAGGTATGAATTAAGTTAATCTTATTTGAATTTATTTTTTATTTGGTGTATTCTGGCTATTTTGTCTTGTAATTCTTTTATATTCATTTCCTTTTCCTTCTGTGTCTTTTTTTATGAAACTTAGTATTTCCTTTACAAAATTCTCTTCGGAAACACTGTTTAGATCCACAGCAGAAAATACTTTGTCTTTAATGTGCAGTCTACTTTTTTTTATACTTGCGTTTAAGTTGTTTTTTCTTGCCAAGATCAGATGTTTGTGTAGAATTTTTCTGTCCTTATATTCTTCTGGGGTGTAGTCTCTGGATATCACAATGGAACTTCCCTTCAGTTTGTGTGCATTTTCAAAAATGGTAGGTAACTGTTTATAGTTAATCAGTTCGACGATAAGGGGTCTAATTTTTTGGTCGTTTTCTAACTTCCCTATTCTGTAAATATATATACATAAAAGTGTAAATCCTTATGGGACGCTGAAATATCTTTTGGCATGTCGAAATTATAAATTTTATGTCTGATGATGACTATAGAGTCAAAACTTTTTGTGGTGTCGACTTTATTTATCCTATCTTTATTTTCGTCTAACTATACTCACAACTCGACACACTGTGTTTACGCTAATGACTTAGTTACTCAAACCGACCCGCCCAAAAGAGCCTGAGGGGAAAATAATAAAGAATATATCTATTATCAAACTAAAAAAACGTATATAAAAATGATTATTTGGGTTCAAATGAAGACGATGAAGATGAAAGTATCG